GAGAAAGCCTTCTCGTCAGTAGCTTTGATTTCAGCCTCTTTAGTGGTCAAGGCATTTCAGAGCTCTGTTTGGGCTTCGACAATTTTTGTTTCACCCTCCTTTGCCTCGGCTTTGAGAACCTCAGCCACAGTCTCCGTTGCCTCTGTTTTTTCCTCAACTTGGTCTTGGGCGCGCTTGGTTGTCTTGGCCTGATCCAACAGAAGTTTTATCTTGGACTCGGCATTGTTTAAGGAAATGAGAAAGCCAACAGCCTCCTTGGTCTTGTGGACCAACTCCTTCTTCAAATCCTCAGCTTTTACCGCAAATGAATGCGCGTGCTAGATCGCCTGAGAAAAAAAAGAATGTACAAGTTAGTAGAATTTTGAAGTATAAAAAACTTGAAGTAGAAAACCAGGAGTTTCAAGTGTTGAGAACTTACAAGGACGGAGTGTTGCATTATCAAAGCAAAGTTGGCAGAAGAATGGCGGTGGAAAGGACATCGACCTCGATATTATCATTGGCACTGTCATCAGCCTTGATTGGTTGGTCCCCAATCGTGATGGTAGAAGCCCAAAGATCATCGGCTTTAAAGGCACTTGGGTTTGCGGCTGCCTAGGACTTCGGCTTCTTCGATCACGAGCTATTGGTTGGCTCATCCTCTGCAAGCCTCTTCTCGGCATTGGAGACACTCTTTTCAACCTCGGCCAATTTTGAGATTGGCACTGTGTCTTCGGTATCAACTTGGGTAACTAGGCCTTTGCCTTATCCCTTTTTACCCTCTTTGGTTTTTGCTTGGGCTGGGATTGAACTGTCACCACCCCTGGAAGGTCGGCCAAGAGGTCCTCCACAACAACCTTATCGCGCTCCATTTCCTCGGCAGTTGCAACCACGGTGATTTTGGTGCCAAAATGAATTACTAGCAGAGTGATTGGTGGGTTTACTAGGTCAAACGCTGATTCTTCAGAATCTCGTCGTCTGCAGCTTCAGGTTCTGCTGGCAGGGACATTTGGTAGAGCTCGACGTCAGCATCGGCATTGTGATATCAGGATGAGTTGGTGGGGCAGAGGTTGATGGCAGCTCAACAGGATCTGAAAAGGAAACCTAATCAGCTCTAGGAGAAGAAGTGACTGGTGGGGTTGAGGTAGACGGTGGAGTTTGACTTCTGTAAGGGACGTCGGGCAAAGCCGACTTGTACGTAGGTATGTAACTTAACAATAGAGGGGCCTTGCGTTGCTGCACAAGAAGATCTAAGAGCTTCTTTAGATCTCGGCTGGGGAAGAATGATTGCCGAAATCCCTTAGCTGGCTAAGGAAGAACTACACAAAAAAATAAGTAAATAAATAAATTCAAAGAGCAAACATTAGGTGAGATAAGTGAGTTGGCAAGCCTAAACCAAAATGAAATTGCAGTAGGATGGCTCATTCTTACTATCACCCTCTTTAAAAACTGTTCGACTCAGAGAACAGAGATTAAGGTCGTCATCATGTGCAAACTCCTAGTTGTCCGAGACGATGAAGTTATCATCTCCAGCACTCTTGTTGGAATCTAGGAGGTTGACTATTAGTTTGAAGGCGGTGGATCTGAGTTTGAGGTAGTATATGAAGCCTTTTTCAAACTTAAGGCCACACATGGTATAGTAGGATTGGATGTCAGCTAAAGTGATCATAGCCTTTTCTCGGTGTGCTAGTTCAATTATGCCGTTGACAACTTTATATGAGTTGATGGCCAGCTACATAGGGTTAAGCTTATAGTAGTGAAGGACCTCCCTAAAGAGAATGTCTAGGGGAAACTGGAGTCCGCACTTTATAAAGGCTACTACTGGAAAGGGCATGGAGTCCCCATCAGATATGATGGAGTCCTCCTCCCCAGCCAATCTAAGTTGAACATCGGCTGGGATGGAGAACGCTCGACGGAAATACTCTATTTTTTCTGGGATATCCACTCTCCACCTAAACATACCCATAATGTCAGCTAGTGAAGATTGGTGTGAAATTTCGGGAAAGATTATTTGGTACGGGTTTAAAAACCTCGGCTAAACCCTAAACTGGCACTAGAGCTAGGGTTTTTTCAAGTCTAAGGGGGGTTTTGGTTTAGTTTGTTCTAAAATATGTGGTTTCTAACAATTCCCAAACCTAGAACTACAAAAGCAAGAATCAAAGACCAAAGATCTTAAAACAATCAAGAACAGGAAAAGAAAATGATTCAGAATCAAGAAGTATCAAGGACAAACAAAGTTCAAAGGACATGAAGAATTGCGAACGCTATGTGAGTGTAAGAAAGTAATGTGTACAAATCACAAGCAAACATGATTAACAACCAAGAGACACAGTGACAAAACTTCAAGATATAGAACAAGTTCAAGAAATTGATTCACAATGCGACAATAAATGTGAGATTCAACAAATAAGCGAATGCAGAAATAAAGCGCATGGCAAGTTCATGAAAGAAACATATGCATAACAGTAGAAGACTGAGATTTGAGAAGACAGAAATTAAGAACTTACCAAATAAAGCCGAGGAACCGTGGCTGGAGTAATGATCGCCAGAGTAAGATGGCAGTAAACGCTGGAGCGGAACAGTGAAAAGAGTGTCAGAAGAGACGATCGAAGCAGCTGCAGAAAGCTCGAAGAAGTGGCCATGGTGGTTTGAGAGTTTTTCTTTTGCTTTAGAGAGAGAAAGCTCGAGCAAAGAGAGAATGAAGGAATGAAAAGTGAAGAGGCAGAGAGAGAGAGAAAAAGAGTTTTCGTTAAAACGCGAAAAGGCGGCAAAACATAATTAAACGCCTTGGACAGCGTGCTTGTCAGGCAACGCGCTCAGAAACGACGCGACCTGATAGCGCGTGTCAGGTACGGACCAATGAGGAAATGGCGCGTAGAGGAAACGGTTGAGAAAACCGTGCGTGACAGCTCATGCGCAGATGAAAGTCTTGGAGTTCTTGAGTTAATGAAGCAAAAACCTCAGCTAGAGGAACGACTTCAATTAAGATACTTAAAGAACTTGGTTCTTGGTTCTTAATCCTTGGTAAAGTTGGACAATTGAGTCCTGGGTGCATGAAGCCAGCGAATAATGATCTCGAACGAGGAAGAAAGAACGAATTTCAACCGACATGGTAAATGCACTAGTGATGTAGGTTCCATCACCTCAGGTTGTCGAGATAATAGAACCTAGGGGCAGTTGGGGGGCAATTGTGGGGACATATTTTGTGAATGATAGCACGTGGGCAAGGTGATGCCGAAGTGTCAGGCGAGGTACCATGTAGCCTGGTCTTGATGCTGAGTTGATCTTGGCTAGGCCGAGGTTATCTGCGGAGATATCAGAATTCGAGGTGAGCGAATAAGGGATAAGAGTCTTAGAACTATGGAGGATCTTAGTTTGGATAAAAATAAAGCTCTTAGAGAGTTTATCCCTATCTAACTGGAAGTGCAAGATGAATATTGAGACTGAGTCCATTGAGGTTAAGCTTCTACATGGATTAAGTCAGTGTTGACTATAAAAGCAAGGCACCCCCGTGGGTCTCAAATATGTGTGATATACTGTAAGCAGTAAATTCTTTCTTGTGAGTTAAGCACAATTGGCTATCTTTGAGAGATAATTACTGACTTGATTGTCGAAGTGCTCTCGGGTAAACGAACCATTACCGGATTCTTATCTTTCTGTGACAGGTTGTTTGGGCTTAATCTATTCTGTCAGTTCTCTCCTGCTGAGTTTTCCTATTTGGTTGTGTGGTCAAAAATCAATACCCACAATTCAAAATTCATGTCCTTCTGTTTTAATTCACGCTTAATAACATGATTGTATCCCCATACTCTAATATTTGGAAAATCTCACAACATCATAATGTTAAAATAAATTGAAACAAAAAAAAAAAAAGAAAAAAAAAAGAAAAGAAAAAGATATGAGGATAACATAGCCATTGCTTGACTTGCAATAAATTTATTTTGTCTTCTAAGAAAAGGATATGTTCCCTAAGCTTTGATGCCACAACTATTATTGATCAACAATCTGCATCCCACCATATATGATCAACAAACCATATCTCTTTACATGAAATAGATTTTTTTTTTAACGAGTAACGATTAAGACCCCAAAAATTTTACTAAATGTCTTACATGAATATAAAACTCACATCATATGAGTCCTACATTCATATGAGAGACATTTGATTAAAATTTTTGAAATATCTAACATTTTTATTTTTCAACTGAACCCCCCATCATGTGATAGAGAGACCCAAGAGACAATCCCATCCTCTTTCAACTATGCAAAAATGTTTCACATTTAGTGAAGGAGCCAGGCATATCACACGTAGGACCCTCCAAACTATTATCTTTTTTGAGTTTTGCAATGTGATCTGAATCCACACAACTATAGAAGGTGCCATGATCATCACATATTTTTGCCTTCCATGTTATCCTCTTATCTCTATCATCAATGGAGAGAAAAGTATGGTGACAAACTACAAGTTGTTGAGCACACATTTATGATAGTTAATCTCTACACTGTAACATGTCTCTCTGGTGATCCCGGCTCAACCAATGAGGTCGTACAAAAACAAATATAAATGGGATTCACCTTGTCTCCCACCTTACGAATTAAAATGAGTAAGTCAACTTCACCTATTCCGTGACTTTCTGGTTGCTCTTAGTCCAGAACCACCATGTGAGCATGTTGAGTTAATCCTCTGCAACTATTAAACATCTTAAATGTTTCTCAAATTTAATCACTAAACAATGCTAAGTCGGGGTTCCGAATCTTTTCTATTTAATTCCTTTTGTTTTTTTCCATCTCAATACATTTCCGGTCATTGAATCATGTTTCCAGATTCACATATCTCAAAAATATCACATGATCTTACGATTGGGTATGAGTTGGGTATAGAAGATTGAATCAGAAGATAGGTGATTACCCTCCAAATTAGAGGCAAGAAACCCTAAAAAGGCATAGAAAATCCTTGGTCTCTGCCACAGTTTGGAGATTTGTATATATAAACAAATCAAATGGTGTACAAAAGGTGCACAACATGCAAAAAATGAAATAATATTATCTTCTATTCATGTACGTGCAAATAGAAACATTTTTATATAAAGAAAATATGATATAATACAGCTAAACAGTCCCTCTATTACTTGGCTGATGATATTAACAAAATTGGGGTATCATCCTTCAAGAAATATAAAATAGAAATTCATCGGAGATAGTTCCCACAAAAAAGTCCACAATGCTTTCCTTTTCAAAAATGGCCACAAAACAAAGAGAAAATGCCCACGACATTACTCAAGAAACTAGGCAAACCATGTCTGTGTCTCTCCCATTTTTCTATGATTAGGTGGCTTCATCAAAGAGAGTTCAAGATCAAGCGAGGCACACCTGACACTGAATTACAGTTTTACCAATCCTGAACCCCGGAACCACCGTGAACGCCACCAGTGGGTCGGCTTTCATTGTGCCATCCGATGACAAGAAGGCTTCTTCGCTCACACTTTCCATGTACACTTCTGAAAATCGACACCTCTTGCCCACTTGAAAGATCGAGGCTTCAGGCTCGTACGAAAAGGCCAAACAATGCAGGAGCCAAACCCGCTTTGCCATTTCAGCAAACGAGGTGAAGAACGTAGTTTCAGGGTATTGACCAGAATTTATTAGATTTCTCTGATTTAAGTTGCCAAAAAGAGATGTTTCCATCTTGGGATGAACAATTTGCAGGTACTTGGCAAAGCAAAATCTTGCAAATGTTGATTTCGGTTTCCGGATAAGGTACGCCCTTGTTTTCAAGGATTTCAAATCCGTGAATCTGTCAAAGAAGAGCTGTTGCCGCTTCTGCTGATCAAGCAAAGACTTGTTTGAAAAAGAGAAGTTCGGGTAATTGAAACCATCAAACATTTCAAGGCAGACAAAGGACTCAAATGCTAAACTTCCGAGGCTTGTGTTCCAATAACCAACACCTGGTAAAATTGCTTTGGCTGCTTCATCTAAATCCCACCCAGCCAACTCCATCTCATTGATCATCAATTTAACAAATTGCCGAATAGATTTAATTGTCTGCCGAAGAACAGAAATGAAATGGTTGGGGCTCAAGCCTGACAAGTGAAGTTTCTCTGGAACTGATAACAACCCACTTGCATTCAATCTCTTCTCAAGCAATTTGTTCTCTTTATTGGTTTCCTCCAACTTCTCTTTAAGAAATGTAATTTCCGAGTTCTTGAGCTGAAGCTGAGAGTCCAGCTTCTTCCCCATAATTTCATAGGTTTTCAGAAGACTCTTCTGCTCCAGGAGTTCAGCCAAAAGCAGTGTAGCTTCGGGAGGAAACTCATCAAACTGTTTCTTCAGATAGTACTGTTTCAATTCAGATAAATTCTTCAACTCCGAGACCACCATCTGATCAGCAGCTTGAATCCCATCAGCATCATAAGGAGACTGAGCGACCTGTAACTGGGCATATGCTGCTTTCATGGCTGAAATGCTGGCAAACAATTTAGCCAAAAAAGCTTCTGTGGCCACTCTGTTCCAGAGCTTTACATCGTCATCGTCAAAGGACTGAGACCTATTATTGCTCATGCAATTATCATACTTGACCTTTTCTTGAGAATTATTAGTTTTCTGAATTCCACCAACAGGGGCAATACCAGTCACAGCTCGAATATGCAAAACCTTAGCAAAAGTGCGCACCAATCTGCCTTTACTTGGAGTCACCACTGTCGGATCAACTGAATCCATCTGAAGCAAAAGATCAAAAAAAAAAAACTGGTGATGATGATGATAGGGGAGATTGATGATAGTTTTTGAGTGATAACAGAACTAAGGCAATAATGTGATTATTATGTTGATGATGATGATGAAGATGACAATGATGACTTGTTCCAACAAAAGAGAAAAGGAGCTTGCTTTAACTCTTAGATCGAGGCAATTAATGGCATAAGGAAATTCCTTTTGTTTTTCCTTTTGGGGGGTTTCCAATTTGCTTTCCTTTGAAAGTGCAAAAATTGGATTTTAAGCCAAAACAAAAAGCATGATCCAAAAGGTGAGTATCAGGGGAGGAGGATGAAGAACACACTCAAAAGGCACACTCAAAAGGCGTGTAATCACTGTGATAAACAGAACTTGCCTGGGTTGCAATGACGCATTGCAGCATGAGTACTATGGTTTGTGGAAATCAAGTGGGGAAGAACTGTGTAATTTGAGGAATTAACAAATGGGTATGACCGCCCATTGGGCCATTATGTTTCCATAAATATTCAACTACACATGGCAAGGTTTGACCACAGAATAATGTAAGTTCTATGCCACCAAGCTAAGAAATTTATCAGAACCAACACACATTCAAGTGCAACTAATTAAATATATCCTCTATCTACTACCACTAAAACCTTATTTTAAGCTTATCGCATAAACGACATTTAAATGACTCCCATCAAAACCAAGGGAAATATAAAATGAGAGCTTTGTGGTTTAGGATGGCATATAAAATGCCTACACAGGGAAATATTATAAATTACTTCACTGTTCTTTTTAATTCCTACATGGATGCACATAAGAACTGTCGTGTGTATATAAAATTCACCATATATTGATGTACACAAGGCATAGTAAAAAATAATGACAAAACCTTATATCGTAATTTGTAAGATGTACCCAGAAAATTTATTCCAATATGCCCTTGTGGACATGACTGTCCCATTAATGCCTCGAAAATATAGTCAACTTGGTTTTAATCATATTAGAATCTCAGAAGGTTTGGTAGCACTTTAATTGCTTGGTAAGTAAGTAAATGGCATGGGCATACTGGATAATACTGCACAATATTTAATGGACCCAAACCACAAAATCGCTTTGTGGTTTCACACTTGTCATTTTGAATTCCTTGGGTCCATGTATTTATTCATACAAAAGTTTTTTTTGAAAATTAAATAAAAAATAAAATTTTTGTTGACTAAATCAAAAATTATCTAGCAATTCTAACTTATCGCATGGTACCGTCGTCTAATATCAAAAAGAAGCATGGTAATCTCAATCCCTCTTTCCTCGTTCTCCTACAAGGACTCCAAATTCCAAATTCCATGTAGCATGTGATCTTGTCACTATCAAAGTAGAACTTATTTATTAGGTCTGGCTTACTATGTGACCATGTGTGCCGGTCTAATAATAAGAGGATTTATGACCATCTTGTTAGAAAATAAAAATGAAATGAATATGAATTCTCCTACTATTATAGTGGCACAACACATGTCTTGTAGACTGGACTCACAATTTTCACAACACTTGTCTCAAAAAGGGTTTAACTCTCCTATTTCATAGATTCTGATTGCTTCATTTCAAAACAGTTGATCCCACCTAAAAAAGAAAATCTCACTGGAAAAATCAATCAATCAAGAGGGAAAAGAACCCACATTAAAATTAGATAAACAAAATCGTACTAAAAAGAAGTTATCTAGTATATTTAACCTACCACGTAACCGTATGCCTACTTAACAATAAAGGCACACATGACCATGTTATCTAAAATATAAGAGAAAAAAATAGAGAAACTCATACGAAAAATAGGTCAGACCTATAATCTGACCCGTTTCGATTGAATAATTATTTGGACAGAAAAGAAAAGAAATCAATTTCTCTTCATCCTATGACTTACTAATATGAGAGAAATGACGAGAAATGGAAAAAAATGAGATAAATTGATTTCTCTTATAACTCACTTTTTTTAATCTCTCCAAAATTGGAGAGATTAATAAAAGAAATGGGATGATTACTAATTTTATATATTACCAAAATTGCCAACCTATGTACTAAAGAAACAAAAACATAAATTTTTTTTTTTTTTACGCACTTTGTCCAAACAAGATTAAAGAGAAATTATTATCATTTCTTTTATTTTCTCCAACTTAACCAAATAAAAAGGAGATAAATCACAATCTCTTTTCTTTCTCTCCTGATTTAACATATTATTTATTTTCTTTACCCTCCTAAATAGCCAAACATATGCTATTTAAATAATAAGAGAAACCCTTTCTAAAAATAATAATAATAAGAGAATCACTACTTTTACTTCACTTGTATTTCATGTATCTACTACTATTATTAGCTGGCCTATTTTTGGCAATTATGAAATAAATTAATAGCCTCCGTTTGGGAAGTGGGTTGGCTTTTTGGCTTTTTGGCTTTTTTGGCTATTTTAGCCTGGGCTTAAAAGCTTGGTTTGGGAAGGGCTTTTTGGCTTTTTGGCTTTTTTGGCTATTTTAGCCTGGGCTTAAAAGCTTGGTTTGGGAAGGGCTTTTTGGCTTTTTGGCTTTTTTGGCTATTTTAGCCTGGGCTTAAAAGCTTGGTTTGGGAAGGGCTTTTTGGCTTTTTGGCTTTTTTGGCTATTTTAGCCTGGGCTTAAAAGCTTGGTTTGGGAAGGGCTTTTTGGCTTTTTGGCTTTTTTGAGTTTTTTTGTGAGAGAAGAATGTAATGATTATGGGTTGGATGTGATGTTTTGTTTGTTATGGCTAAAATAGCCTATTTTGTCTTTTGTGGCTAAAATAGTCAAAAAAGCCCAAGAACCAACTTGCCAAACAGAGGCTAATTTGTTAAACTTGTGAGTTTAGAATTATATACCATTTCTCTATTTTTTTTAAATATCTTTTCATAAAAAAATTAAAAAATAAATTTATTTATATCATTTCAAACAAATTTACGAGACCCAAACAATAATTGACAAATATCAAATGATAAATAATATATGAAATAATATTTTAAGGCCTCGTTTGGGAACAGGCTAATTTAGTAACTTTTTGACTATTTGGCTAAAAAGGTAGGTAAAAAAAAACTTGTATGTTTGGGATGACTTTTTGACTAATTACGAAAAGATGTGCAAAAAGTAGAGAGAAAAGTGAATCTTTGACTTTTTAGTATGGATTGTTGACTTTTTGACTAATTTAGTAACTTTTTGACTAATTGACTAAAATAACCTCTTGCCAAACGAGGCCTAAGATTTATTAACTATTTTACCTTTTAACCCAAACCTCTTCTCAAACACCCCACTGTTGAATTCGAGATATCAATGCACGGAAAAGATTAGAAATATTGAATTAGATTCTTTTTACTAATTACGAAAAGATGTGCAAAAAGTAGAGAGAAAAGTGAATCTTTAACTTTTTAGTATGGGTTATTGGCTTTTTGACTAATTTAATAACTTTTTGACTAATTAATTAAAATAATCTCTTGCCAAACGAGGCCTAAGACCACTAAATAGTCGTTCTCACTCACCACTGTCGTTGTGCAAAAACTCCCACGTGAATCCCCTTATAATTACGAAAAATTATTGTCATGAATGACTTGAATATGTCAAAAAAAATATTATTTTATCCTTAAAATGATATCACTTTAATCCATTCAGACTATTCAAGTTATAAAAATTGAAAACATTATTATGTTGTCATAGTCAACACAAAATCCTTTATTACTTAAAGCAAACTCATAAATATTTTCTTTTTTCTTTACCCTTCACCAATCACAATATACCGGACTCCACGTGGCTATGCGAGCACCACCAAGTAACTTCTCTATAATTACACTGCAAACACAATTATCATGACTCTGAATTTTTACATCACTACTGACGCATCATAGCCGTTAGATAATATACCGAGATCCGCGCCCTCGTGTAAACATTCCCCAGAAATGCTTCTGCATCCGGTGTGGAGCCCACCTCGAGATCACGTGACCCACAAAACCCTACTGCAAGCAGATCACGTGAACAAAACTTCTGTACTGTGAGGGAGGGAGTCCACACTGAATCCGAGCTCCTCTTAGGGAGGGACACTCGTGTAGCTCATGTGTACTACGACTATGTTTGGGTGACAGGAGCTTAAAATTGAATTAATAATTCAGTATTTGGTTAAATAATTAAAGTACGAATTAATAATCTTAAAAAAGTTACTCATGATGGACTATTCAATCCCACATCTCAAAAGAGGTGGAATATAAATTAAAAGACTACACCAAAATCTAAACCATTAGTCCTATTTATAATACTAACTTAATCCGAATAATCCTAACTTAATCTAAATATGAGATAAGATATGCAATTCAAATGATTCGTAATCACATCACTATTAATCATGAAAATGCTAATCCAACTTAATCCAATCCACCCAACAAACATGGTCTACGAGTGCAGGAGGCTCTGTGTATGTGATGATTGACATCTCATAATAAATCAAACACATCGAGAATCAGACGGTCACAAACGGACATACTACAGAGAATCAAACAGCGTTGATAGCATTAAACACGCGATAAATTGCCGTACCTCGAAAATACCACGAGAAATTGATACTCTTCAGTTTCTCTTCATATCATTAGCATGAATCTTCAGGAAAAAAAACTATAGAGCACCATTAGCAGGCCTCTAATGGCGACTTATCTCCGCAACCACTGCAACCAAAAAAAGCAAACAAAAAAAAAAAGAAAAAAGCTTCTTGTTCTGTGCTCTGTTTGGCGAAACAAAAACAATTCTAGTTTGAGTTCAGAAAGTAGATGAGGAAAACCTGCAAAACCAAACAAAAATCAAAACCTATAAGCTTTTAAAAACCCTAGTTTATTATTATTTTATTTTTTTAAAAAAATAATGCTAAGAAAGGAAAGTCATCCCAAAATGGAATCAGAAAATAAATTTTTTTAAAAAAAAAAAAAAGACTATGTTTTGATGAAGTTTAAAGAAATGCGTCCTGACCTATCCCTACCTTGCCTTTCGGAGAAACCTTCGTGCATATCACCAGAATGCTTGATCGCATTGAAACCTTTTCTTCAATGGTGGTTTTTCGAGTAGTTATCAATGATTGATTCGAAGACTATATGAACTAGTGAGCAGAGATTAAAACACAGAGAGAGAGAGAGAGAGAGTTTTAGAGAGAGAAATCGGAGCTCGATGAGAGAGAGAGAGAGAGAGAGAGAGAGAAGGGGTAGGAAAAGACGAAAAAAACCAGAATTGGGGAAAATGTCTGAGAGCCGGAGGCATTTGGAAATATAAAAAAAACTTGGCTCCCCAATAATAGTCAATTTTTTGATGTTTTTAGTTCCGATTTTGCCACTGCTGATTTATTTTTATTACGGTCGCGACTTTATAAGTGAGTGAATATTTTTAGCCGTTGGAAGGGGTAGTTTGGTCAATAAAGGTGTGAAATGTTCGCGAAACTGACGCAGGTCTACATCAGAGTGTGTTCGATATGTGTATGAGAAATGAAAGGTGCACAGTTTCTCACTGCAGTGGTCCATAGTTCACTTGTGTGTAACCGCACACACCAGAGAGATACTGAAATACTTTGTTTAATCATCGATGGGCACGTGGTGATTTAACGCGGTTTTGATGTACAACGCATTTGTTGACAGTCTGATCTGTAATCTCCTCATCAGATTAGGTCAGTTTGTTTTCCGAGCAGAGAAGATTGATATTAATAAAATTATATTTATTTTAATGATGATTATTAATGTAGGAATTATTAAATTAAATAAATAAATTAAATTAAATAATAATTTTTACTTAATAAAAAAATAAAAATATTAAATATTAATGTTTAAAAAAATACTCAATATGTAAAAATAATTTTAAAAAAAAATTGTAATTGATTGGATGAACGACCGATAACACCTTAAGCCGAACAAATTATTTTTTAATATCATCTCCTCGCCCAGACTAATAATATTGTTGCCAAGGCCTATCGTAGTCCAAGGGGATCACGAATCCAAAACTCCAAAACCAAAACAAATATGAGGTATTTTCACTATGCAACTCCAAAACCAAAACAAATATGAGGTATTTTCACTATGAAAAATGCTTACTACAGGAATTATTAAATTAAATAAATAAATTAAATTAAATAATAATTTTTACTTAATAAAAAAATAAAAATATTAAATATTAATGTTTAAAAAAATACTCAATATGTAAAAATAATTTTAAAAAAAAATTGTAATTGATTGGATGAACGACCGATAACACCTTAAGCTGAATAAATTATTTTTTAATATCATCTCCTCGCCCAGACTAATAATATTGTTGCGAAGGCCTATCGTAGTCCAAGGGGATTACGAATCCAAAACTCCAAAACCAAAACAAATATGAAGTATTTTCACTATTCATCATTCACAGTTTGAAGTGGATTGTAATAAAGGAAAACAAACAGGGCGATTGGAGTGCCCATCAAACTACATGCAAGTTTTTTTTTTTCCAATAATGTTAAAATTATTAATATAATAAATTTTACAAAACTATGTCGGATAATAAATAAACTATAATAAATGTAATATTACTAATATTTTTATTAAATTGGTGGTCCGATATGTTACCCTTATTAATTATTGAGACCATGAAATTTTTTCATTTTATATATATGAGAGGAAAATTTGTGCCAAACAAATAGGCTAATCTAAATCTCGTGCAGACATTCGTTCTCGACTATGTAACTGGGCTAACCTAAATCTCAGATATTGGGCTAAGTTGGATAATGAGCTTAAATCATGGGTCGAGCTAAGCCTGTGCCTCAGAGATAAGCCGGGCTAAGGTGAAATGAGGACATTACTTGATCAGAATAAGAATCTCCATGGCGCTAAGGAGTTGCGCGGAGTTTGTTCGAGCAATAAGCAAACGGAGTTTGACTAGGGTGAACACGGCGAGCTGGGCTAGTAAAGTCCCTCCGAGGGCAAGCCGGCCAGGGTAAGCTTGGTCTTGGAGATTAGTCTGGGTTAGACCGGTTGAAGGTCGTTCGGTCAAATGTAGCACGGTTGATGTACACCACGTGGCCCAATAATAGCGCAAGGGGAAGAATCCACTCAAAGTACACGTCAATATCATTTGGTAGTTTTGTTAGTATTGTTTGGCAGTATTGACGCTCACATGTGTGAGGAAATGAGAGGGCAGTATAGAAACGCGTCCAACAAAGAATGAACGTAGTAGTACGCCCACAATCTTGGAAAGTAAGGGAATGGTCTATATAAGGCGCACAACTCCACTGAGAAAAAGGTCTGCAATTTCTCACTTTTCATTTCTCTTTGCATTCCTTTGTCTTTTTTGGGTGCCAACTTGTCCGTCAAAGGGGTTTACCGGTACCACACCCGCCAATTAGCTCACTTGAGTTGTGCTTTCAAGTAATACGACGCCATTTGGAGCAACACAAGCTTGGTCACAGGGAGTATAGGCGCGACAATGTATAATATCAAATAAATATTGAGCATAAAATCTTTTAAAAAATCAAAAAATTGAAAATAGAACGAGTATATATGTTAATTGCTTTAGTTTTTTTTTTATATATAATGGTGACTACTAACCACATTTGTGAACCAAAAAATTTTTTGAAAAAATAATTTTTTAAAATATTTAAAAATTAATTGGTAGGTTAAAATCTCGACGTGTAGATTAAAGGCCCATGAATGCCCAATAAGGACCTGGCGAGAAGGTGGTTGACTAAAAGAAGCATAAGACGGATCAATTATATATAACGCACAGTCTAACCAACTTCCATGAAATGATTCATGAGGAAAACCATTCGTTTAATAAAAGAATAACTGCAGACATCGCCTACAAGATGAACGTCATTTGGCGATAAAAGAACGTCGGGGAAAAATATCAAGTACACCAACAAGAAAATAAAAAAAAAATAAAAAAATAAAAACTTTTCTATTTCATATCTTCTTTATGTCCGATGAATGTACTGACTTGTCGTCGAAAAATTTCCTTAACCAACATTAGGTCAAGAAAGTCTTCGATTTCTTGATTGTTTTGCAGGACATAAGGAAACCTGAGCAGGACATCTTCCATTGGTAACAATACCAGAAAAAATTATATTTTATTGATAAATAATGCAAATAAAATGCGATACAAATAGATCAGACTGAGGCACGGATATCTCGTTTTCTTTAAGGAGATCAAGCATACTGCAATAAGAAGAACCCAAATACCGATACAGCAATCACAAAACTTTGAATTGTCCGCTCCAGGATACAACAACCCGACCACTTGTCGTATGGTTCAGGCTAACTCTGCACAAGATAGTGAACCCAAAGCTCCATAAAAAAAAACACCCTTCTTTACTAATAATCTCTCTTGTATAGAAAATAGTTGGTGTATTGGTGTAGAAAAGAGCAGAAGATAGGAACTATATATAGGCTACTAGGACCTTACAAATTATACCTAAAAAAATGATGACCAATAAACTAAAGAAAATGGAGAGACTCCAAATAATAACTCACCACCAAGTCTATGAATTCTAATTAATCTCCATTCATGAACAAGACAAAAGGTTACCAAAGTAATGAATCTCCATTTATGAACAAGATGAGATTCATGAATAAAACAAAAGAAGATTCATGAATAAAAATTTATAAATAAATAATATTAAAATTGTCCAACATCTTCCTATACATTAGTAGAGGTAATTCTACCCTCCACATTAACTATTAATTTTTATGTTCAAACGAAAAAAGATATATACAATTCAATCAAATATCCAATGACAAATATAATTAAGAAAATTTATAATATCTTAACTTTCTAAATTGTAAATCATAACATTTCCTTGTTGACGAATAAAATTAAGAAAATCACAAATCTCACAACTTTTTAAATTGTAATCTTAATCTTTTTCTTATATACAATTTAGCCTTCATTTGGAAAGTGGATTGATTTTTTTACTTTTTTAGCATTTTTGTGAGATAAAGAATGTAATGATTATGGGTTAGATGTGATATTTTGTCTTATTAAGCTAAAAAACTTATTTTATTTTTTATAACTATTTTAACCAAAAAAACATCAAAACCAACTTCTCAAACGGAGGCAATGAGTTTGTTGTGTGCTTTTAATATACTCTTATTAACTAGTATTCATAATTCTTTCATTATGATCCTTTACACCTTTGACTCATTATAGTTATTGTTTATTCAACATTAAAAGTCATTTAGAAACATATTATAACTATAGTAGGAGTACAACGATAAAAGTATGAGAATTTTTTTATTTTTTTTTTAACAGTTTTGTTATCTATTGCCCGGCACTAGTTAAAAATTTTGAAATAATTTTCCATTCATTATTATAAAAATATATGCAATCTGTTGGCTACATATTTTGTAAAAGCCAGTTACAGTTCGACACGTGGCATAGTAAGGGTAATAAAGGAAGGTTATTCAAGCCTTTAATCCTAATCGTACACGTGACAATAAACATTGGTCCTCACATGATCCGAGTAACACTAGATCAAATAATGGGATGCAAGATGACGTGTCTTTAAACGGTTACTCATATTCAAATCTAAGTACAAGAGGGAAGCTCAACTGCCAGTAATGGCGTAATGGAGCTATTTGTAAGGAAGCATGACCAGCAATCATGGAGGAGCAGTTCGACAGTTCGAAGTGCAGTTCGAAGGTCATCACTGACGAGTATAAATAGCAGGGTAGCCCCCAGAAAGAGGGACATCAAAACCAACTTCTCAAACGGAGGCAATGAGTTTGTTGTGTGCTTTTAATATACTCTTATTAACTAGTATTCATAATTCTTTCATTATGATCCTTTACACCTTTGACTCATTATAGTTATTGTTTATTCAACATTAAAAGTCATTTAGAAACATATTATAACTATAGTAGGAGTACAACGATAAAAGTATGAGAATTTTTTTTTTTTTTTTTTAACAGTTTTGTTATCTATTGCCCGGCACTAGTTACAAATTTTGAAATAATTTTCCATTCATTATTATAAAAATATATGTAATCATTTTTTATTTTGTTAACTAATACCTTAGAGTTCTCATGTTACGAGACTCGTATTATAATGATAACTTATTTATGAGAATTTCTTGTGATTCATAGAAGTTTTTTTTTTATTTTTAATAATTTTGTTTAACTAGTGATTTGGCACCTGTTAATTAAGAAAGTCAAAGTTATTATATATTCAAATAAAAGTATGTCATAAAAAAATAGGTAATTATTTGTATTTTTG